AAAAAGTTTCGCGCGAAAAAGTTACGTTTAACATGGCCGCTTCCAGTGACGTCAACTGTTCGTAAACTGAGGTTAAGGGTAGTTTACACTGATCGTAAATCCACGGTCCAAACTTTTGTGGTTCACTCTTGAGTCGTGGAACGATTGGTCCACGATCAGCTCACGTCACGCCACGACTGATATTGAACCACCATAAACGGGTCTAAAGCCTAGTACTCATAACTGCGAATTTCGCATTTTTTTGACATTGCTTCGACAATTTGACGTTTGAATCACGCATAAAACGTCAAATGGTTTAAGCAATGTCAAAAAACAGCGAATTTCGCAGTTATGAGTACTGGGTTTTAGAGGGAAGATTGTCAGACTTCGCTTTTTTAAATCCTGTATCAACCATGATGAACTATTTGAAACGCAAAAGTCACTAAATACGGAAACATATGGTGGTGTTTCCCTTTTCTATGCAGTCGAATGTCCAAGCTAAGCGATTCTTTCTTACAGTTTACAAAGTGTCAGAAGCTCTTGTGAGAACAAACCTTAACGTTGTGTTTACAGACAGTTGACGTCACAGGTTCCACCATCTTGAAGCTAATCGTTTTCGCGCCAACGAAAATAATTTGAAATGACCCCGCACACTTCTAATGGGATTTCTGACCGCGGTCAAATTTAACCAAATTTTAGTATGTTATAGATGTCGCCTTTCTGATCCATAACTCTCATGGGCACAACTCAATCCTATGACTAGTTTTTGAGATACAGGTAGTTTAATGTCCAAGAAATGCACACATTTTATATGCATTTACATCTACCTGTCACCTAATAATACCAGAATAGACAGGTATTCTCACGCTCAGGTGACAGGTAGATATAAATGCATATAAAATGTGTGCATTTCTTGGACATTAAACTACCTGTATCTCAAAAACTAGTCATAGGATTAAGTTGTGTCCATGGAAGTTATTGATCAGAAAGGTGAGATCTATAACATATTAAAATTTAGTTAAATTTGACCGCGGTCATAAATCCCATAAGAAGTGTGCGGGGTCCTTTAAAATATTTTTTTTTATTTCAATAAGGAATTAAAACAAAAAAAAACATACAATTTATATTTGAAAACATAAGCAATAAGAAAAAAAATACTTCGAAAAATATGATTGTTCCCTATTGTTGGCTTCAGGCAATGACATAAGTATTCATTATTATATCACAAGACCTTCAAATTTAATCGATTAAACTATGCAACATATTTTGAGCATGATTTTGCTTGGAAAATAGTTGAATGCACAATAACTTAATAAAAGCTCGAGACCGCGAAGCGGTCGAGGGCTTTTATTTAAAAGTTATTGTGCATGAAACTATTTGCCAAAAAGCAAAGTTGTGCGAAAAATATTTGGATAGTTTAATCCATTTAAATTTCTAGGTCGAGTGATATACGGCTAGATTATTTCCTGAATAATTATTAGGATTGAAGCCACAAACAAAAAGTTCTATTTTTTATTATAAAATGTCAGAATATTTCTATCAAAATTCTGTGAAAAAAGGTAAACAAAAATTTAATCGCTGATAAACAGGTCTTGTGAAATAATCACTTATTTAAACAAAATTTATTCAAAAAATGACGTTGTCTGATTGGTCTATTTTATAATGAATGAAATAATCTAGGTTAAAAGTTTTGTGGGTTAAAAACGGGTGGAAAAATGTCAGAGTAATGTCATCTGAAGCTTTCGTTGAAAACTTGTCGAAAAATGCCAAAAATATGTGATCTTTGGTTATGAACATATAGATCAGGAAATTCTGGAGATTTTTCTTGAACTACTTTTTTTTTATCGGTCCTGTATCTCCGAAACTATAATCATAGGGTCTTTTTGGGCCTACGAGAACTTACGTTCAGGAGGTCGAGAAGCATAACATATTTCAATTTCATAACAATCGAATAGATAAACTAGGGGGGTTCTAGAGTGGAAGTGACGTCACACTCGTTCTTGGGCCCGCGCCCGTCATCAGAAAAGCCCCAAATTAAAGGGGCCTAACCCAGGTGGGCCTGTGCCCCATTTTGGTGCCCCCATTTTTTTCGTGGGCCCCATTTTTTGTAACCTGAAATTTGTACCACGTAGGTACCTAGAACTCGAAACCTGAAATTTGGTACCCCATAACTCGTGACTTGTAACAAGATACATCGTATTGGGCCCCCCAATTTTCGGGAGGCCCCATTTTCTAAACTAAAATCAATCTGACCACGATCAGAGACAATAATTTATGTTTCGTTACCTAAAGTCTGTTTTTTTTTAAAGATAATTCCCCAAGTCAAAAATTTAGTAACTATGTTGGCAACACAAAGCCTTTTCTACATAAAAAATTTGAAAGCATTGACAATTTTACATTGTATTGCCAACATATAATGTCATTTTGAATTTTATCTTTAAAAAAAAAACAGATTTTACCAATTATTTCAATGCGACATGATCATTCGAAATTTGGTTTCACGCCACCGCCGCACAGTGTTGCGTCTCATAGGGGAATTGGGACAAAATTCATATCTTGAACACAAAGTTGAATTAATTAATGCGAATGTTTTTATTTATGCATAAACATTTTAGTGGACAACCCAAATGTAGAATACTTGAACAAAAGAAAATAATTCCTATTGTACAGGGTGAAACACAAAAAAAAAATTATAATGTTTAATTAAAAAACCTTAGGTGAATTTATTTTTCAAAAAAAATAACATTCTTGTAGATACATAAATTATAAAGATGATACATTTGTCATTAAAAATGTTAAAATTTTCAAAAATACGAAAATTAAGAACTAATAACTAGACGAGGATGTTTGCGCGTCATGACGTTATTTCCAGCGTCCCACTTGTTGCTGCACTCCCAGATTTTTTTTTATGTTAGCAGAACAATTTTCTAGCTTTAAGTAAACTTGAATTGTTTCCATTACCATTTAAGGTTTTTGATTCTTGCCGCAAGTTACCCATTGTTGGTATAAAATACTATTAGGAATAGCAACGATTTTTTCTGAAAATAAAAAAAAACGCAAAAATCCGCAAAAAATAATAACTGTCATTTTAAAGTAGAGGGTTTGCAGAGTTCAAATTCAAAAATTTATAGGACTATAATTTTATATATTTTTTAAATCCTTAGTTGAAATTTAATAAAAATATTTTAGATATTTTAATTAATTATCTGCAAAAGGCAAATAGTGTAACTGACTACTTACCCTCTATAATGTTGTCCATAACCCTCCTAATGTATTAAAAAAATAATTACCTCAAAACAATATTACGGCTTTTTCAAAATTTAATTTTATAATAACCTTCCAACAGATGCACAAAATTCTTTTTCGTTTTGTTTATCTCTGTTTTTTGGGAACTCGTGAACAAAAAAAGTTAACAATAAGATACTTGTCATCACCAGGCATTTCTTCACAGATAGCCATATTTAATTATCCAAAAATAAATTCAAACATTTTTGAATTTTGTCCATTGAGTGCAACACTGTGCGCCGCCGCCGAGACCCAAACCATAAAAATGCGGGGCCCCAATTCGGGACCCATTTTTTGGCAAGCCCCAAAGATTATTTTTAAATAATTATAATTTCTACCGCTGATAACAAGTTTTGCGAACTTGCTTAATTTATTCGAAATGCCGTTATCTCAATTACAAAAAAACACATTTCCTGGTGATAATACATATTGTTTTTCATTCATCCAAAGTTTAGTTAGTTATTCCAGCGTCCTTAAGTGACACAACGTTTTTTCAGTGCTCCAGTTTCATAACATTTTTCTACGAAAATTTCATTCAAAGTTGGGCGTTGACTCATTTATTGTTAATTGTGTTTAGTGCTAAAAAACTATGTAAGTAATTTTTTCATTATTTTTAAAGACCCTGATAATAATACGTTGTTCTTTTTTTTTTAGAGACAATCATGAATTTAGATCAAATAAACCAGGCGGCTTGTATTGAAAAAAAGCCCTATTTGAAATTGAAGGGCCTAGTCCCAAATCATTTGTATCCCATTATAAGTATGTGCGGGCCCCAGAACGAGTGTGACGTCACTTCCGCTCTAGAACCCCCCTAGTTCATCTACTCAATCGGGAAATTAATTTTTTCTCATAAGATCCGTGTGTGGTCCTTTCACAGACACTCTAATTTATTCTAGGTCGTCCTATAATAAGCTGCTGCGTTTCTTCTCTAGGTACTAAATAGTTACCTCGAAAAACGGACACACAAAGTTGGTAGAACCGACCATTCTTCCTTGCACTGGCTGCCGAATTTGTATGCCCAGAAGGCCAAATTGCGCTTTGTTCAGAGAAAATACAAAATGACGACTTCCGGACTCCAAATTAAACATCGCACATATGAAGAAGTCATGTGAACACCGACTACCGACGGCTTACGATGAAGAGAAGACCGCATATAAACAAGAAAATTTTGAGACAACCAAGAAGTAAAGGAAGCAGTCAGAAATTTTGAAACCTTTCAACAGAGAGAACTAAGTACAGGGTGTAACAGTCAAACCTGCAATTTTGAAAAAAGCACGGTAGCCAAGAAAGTAGGCTGGGCGAGTTTTCAAGGTTACCGTTGTCTTCCTGTTTTCAAAGCATTTTTTAGTTGTCTTGGCAAAGCAGCGTTTTTGCTTGGGCCACTGTGCCATGGCTACTGAACAAAAATTATTTTGGAGGGGGGAACACAACGGTAACGGTAACCTTGACAACTCCCCCCGCTCACTTTCTTGGTTCCCGCGCTTTATTCAAAATTGCAGGTTTGACTGCCGCACCCTGTATATCGAAACTGATACTAATAGGCCTATTCGCACAGCAATCACAAACCAGTCAGAGCGAAGCATTGGTTGAAAACAGTCAGAAAACTAGTTTCAACCAATGAAATTCACTCTGACTGGTTTGTGATTTCTGTGCGAACAAACCTAATATTGACGACCACATTACCAAATTAATTTACTTCTAATTAATTAAAACAAACTAATACATTGAAAGGTTTTATATTACACTATGGTAAATATTTATTATTTAACATTCAACTTTTGTAGATGCACGGATAATACAGATAAGCTATTTACAATTAAATATTTTTACAAATAGATAGATTATAAAATTAGTTAATTGGATTATGTATGAATAATAGAAATATTTTTAATCATCGATTTAGAAACTTGTTTAAATAGAGAATAAAGTATATAAGGGGCACAGAATCTGCAAATTAGCATAAGCAGCTACTCTAACTCTAACTAAATAGAAAAATTTTCCAACAATAAACACTTAAATAACTAAAGCAAACATAAATTAGGTATGATATTTCATTAGAGTAACTTTAGTCAGTATACAGTTCGTTGTTACTAATGTTTACGTAAAAAGTCTATAAAATTTCATGGTAGATATAAGTAAACCTCTGATATTGAAATTATTAGTTTTCACATCCAGGGACCAATTTATTTCACAAAAAACTGCACTTGTTGCTGCATTTAATATCATATCCAATAGCTGAATATTATTTTTTATAAATACATGCCATTAACTAAATAATCGGCATCATGGGCATATCCCTTGCCACCTTTTCTTAATCTTCGTCTCACCACTCTCAATCGGCAACCAATAAGAATCGCCATTACACCAGTTATGATTAATCCTAAGAAAAAATTTGAATTTTTGTGGTAAAATTTAATTATTCACTAAATTCTAACTTACCCAAAGTAAGAGATAAAATTGCTCCTCTAGGAATATGCGATAATCCATCCTGGGTATCATCAGTCATTTTGTAAGGTTCCGCAAACTGGTCTTGAAGGGGTTTGATTTTAGTTTGACTGGAACCGTGTTCCATATTTTCTTTTGAATGTTTTAGATCGTGGGCCATTTTTTCTTGGACGTGTTTCGAGTTAACAACTGAGAATTTAATAAAAATTATTTGCTTTATTCAAGAGAAAATGGTTTTACCTGTTACAGATGATGGTTTATTAGGTACAGCTGGCTGCATGGGTTCTGCCACATGGCTGGTACCTTCTGTTTTTGCTTGAATTTCAGAAAATAATTAATTTATAAGCTGAGTGGACAAAAATTGCTTACCAGGTATCATAGGTACTGCATTTTCTTGGGGGTGATACACTTGTTGTGGGTACCTGCTTTCATCTATCCAGAAAAAAAAATTGTTTCATTTTGTTAGAAAATATTTATTTGATCACTTGCCTGGTAACCAATTTTCCTGTTGTAAAGGCTGCCTGTAGTTCTCTCCATAATAATTGGCAAGCCGTTCTTGGTATTCTGGATATTGCAATTGACTAAACACAAGTTTAATTTGGTATCTTCAATAAAATTAATTATAAACATCTATAACTTACCCCATTTGACCTTCATTGTGGGATGTCTTATCTTTATGCGAGTACACTTGGTTGGAGGGATCTGAAAATAAAAATAGAAACTTTGTGTTTCGAGAACAAATAATTTTTTTGAATGAATACCTTGATATTGTTGAACTTGCTGTATACCTTGCTTAGCCATTTGCTGGCGGGCGAGAGCCCAATTGTTGGGCAAATAATTGGGCACAGGCATCAAAGGTTCGTATTGGGCTCTCTCTGGATTTCTCGGAGCGGGTCGCAGAAAATCGTTTTCAGCTTGGAGTGGTATTTGAGGAAATGCTTGTGGATGATAGAAATTTTGGTAGTTGGATTGTGGTTGAAGTTTCGGTTGTTGAACCTGTGATAGGAAAAAACTTGATTTTAAATTGATCTAAGAGGTTCTTTAATCTTTATGCATGTCTGAGTATGAACGAAGAATTTTTTTATGGCTGGAATCAGTGAGGCCGCCGAGATGAGCCTAATGACCGATTTTCTTTCGAAAAATCACTTCGAGACGGGACGAGAGAATGCTTTCTCTCGTCGAAAATTTCTCGAGTGTAGAATATATAAATGTATTGTTATGCTCTAGAATAATTTTCTAAATATTTTTGGCCGCATTTTTTTGGACGCGTTGGGTCCCTTACATCAAGTTGCGATTACTTATATTAAAAAAAAATCATATAAATATGTGTCCAGAAATCGGAAATGCCAAAATCCTCAGATATAGAGCGTTATTTGAAGAGTAGAAAAAAAAATCTATTCATATCACTAAAACAAAACCGTTGATCTTATTTAAATTTTTCCATATAATTAAAATAGGCTTGATTATTTCAGTGGCTTCTCGAACCCTTGGTTGGGATAAAAAAGTACGTGAATGTCCACACCACTGGAAAATTTCAATATTTTCCAGAATCTTAGGTTTTATGGGTAATATCACATTTTTATACATTCTAGTCAAGGGGATTGAATGCGCCGTGTAAGCATTGTTAAGAAGCTCACAATTCTCTATTGCATCCTTTTCAGGTTAAAAACTGCAGTGTGGTTACGACACAGGAGTTACAGCATAGCTCAAGATTAGAGCCATACTGTATCAAGTCTCAGGGACTAACAATGATTTAGTACAAGTAAGTTCTTACTGTAATAAGTGTTCAGTAGCACAGGTACTATTGGCCACTGCTTTGATAGATATTTATGGCGAAAAAGGGGAGCGTCATATTTTCAAGGCTCTCGACGTTGTGGAAAAATTAGGCCTTAAAAAGGAATATGTGAATTTGTCTGTTATAGGAATAGGTCAGTCGAATATTACCAAGGCTTGTGATATTAGGTTGAGTTCAAGGCATGAAGAGTTTGCAAAGATAAGGTGTTTTATTGTTCCAGAAATCACTGGTAATCTTACAGGAATTTATTTTGATCCCTCTATTATCAAAGTTCCAGATTATATCACATTAGCCAATCCTTATTTTTATGAACCACAAAAGGTTGATCTTTTGTTGGGCGGCGAATATTTCTGGGATATATTATGTAACAATACTCTACGGTTAGGGAAAACAAACCAGTATTACAAGAAACGAGGTTAGGATGGGTGATTTCTGGAAAAATTAATGTTCCAAAAGGTGCTGTAACTTCATGTCATGTTAACAGGACTTCAGATATTCAGAACCAGTTGACGAAGTTCTGGGAGATCGAGGAGGTCTCTTTACGCCCTTCGCAGTGCAACGAGCTCGCAAACGAGAGGGATTTAGCTGAGCAATATTTTTTTGGAAACTCATCGGCGTGATTCGGAAGGAAGGTTTATTGTTCCAGTTCCTCTCAAAGAGCCTCCAAGTTCCTTGGGTGACTCTAAGCAGTTAGCAAAAAAGCAATTTCTTAATTTGGAGCGCAGATACATGAACAATCCTAGGTTAAAACAAATATATTCATAATTTATGCAGGAATACCAGAACCTTGGTCATATGTCAGTTTATAATGCAGGAGATAATGAGATAACATATTTTTCTCCACATCATGGGGTCATACGTGAAAATGGTATCACGAATAAGTTACGGGTGGTTTCAGCCAAGTCGTCGTCTGGTAAATCTTACAATTCAATCCAGATGGTTGGTCCAACGGTTCAGGATGACCTCCAATCCATCCTTCCCAAATTTCGACAACATTCCATCGTGATATCTGGTGACATCTGTAAGATGTATAGACAAATTTTAGCAGAAAAACAGTACCGACCCCTGCAATTGATATTCTGGCGATAAAACCCTGAAAGTGTTTTTGAAACGTTCGCATTGAACACAGTTACGTATGGAACAGCAAGTGCACCATTTCTTGCAACAAGATGTATAAAGCAATTGTCAGTTGAAAATAAAGTTCAATTTCCTAAAGCTTCAAGTGTGATTGAACAGGATTTTTATGTCGATGATTTTTTATCAGGTGCGGAGACAGTTAGTGAAGCAGTTCAGCTTTGTCATGAAGTTTCGTCAATATTAAGATCAGGCAGTTTCGAACTTAGGAAATGGAAATCAAATAGTTCTGAAGGCTTAAAAAATATTACGACTTCTGAATCACAGCTGCACGATCTTCATTTTAGTCCGCCAGAAGCTTGTAAAACTCTGGAAATGGTATGGTGTTACGGAGAAGATAGTCTATCGTTTAAAGTTAATTTACCTGTGACTATTAAAAAGGTAACAAAACGAGTGATTTTGTCAGACGTAGCACGAATCTTTGATCCTCTTGGTCTAGTCAGTTCAGTTATTGTTAAATCAAAAATTCTATTGCAGGCTTTATGGTCATGAAAATTGTCCTGGGATTAAGAAGTTCTCAATGATGTTTGTCAAAGTTATTTGAAGCTAAGGTCTGATTTGTCGGAGTTAAACTCTTCTAAAATACAGAGAAACGTATTTTCCAAGAGTGCAGTTTCAATACAATTACATGGATTTTCGTATGCGTCAGAAGTGGCTTTCGGTGCATGTATGTTTGTACTACTTATTGATTCAGATCAAATTGTTCATGTCAATCTGTTAACTTCTAAAACTAGGGTTGGTCCACTGAAGTCTTTGAGTATGCCTCGATTGGAACTGTCAGCAGCTCTGTTACTAGCCCGGTTGTTTCAAATTCAATAACATTCCAAATCGATGAATATTTTTTATGGTCCAATTCAACTGTGGCCCTTGCATGGATTAGATCATCACCCCATAACCTGCAAGTGTTCGTTACAAATCGTGTGGCCGAAATCCAAACTATTATTGAGAGTTCACATTGGAGATATGTACCAACCAATTCGAACCCTGCTGATATTTTATCCAGAGGTGTGTCAGTTCAATATTTAAGGAACTCAGAATTATGGTTTCAGGGCCCATCATGGCTATATGAATCTTTGGAAATTTGGCCTATGGATATTTCTGCCGCGAATCCAATTTCATTTAATGAATTGCCAGAAACCAAAAACATTCAAAGCTATGTTCTAGTCCGAGAATCTTTATTTCCTTTTGATAAGTTTTCTGTTTAAGGTTACTCTTTAAAGTTTAAGGTTTATTCAAAATTGTAAGACATCAAGTGATACGAAATAATCAGGGCATCTCACTCTTGATGAGCTAAATCTTTCCATTAATGTTCTCGTTGAGCTGTCCCAAAGAGAGACATTTCAAGACGAAATCAAAGATCTTTTAGAATCTTCATCGGTTAATCCCAAGAGTAAACTTTTGAATCTTACTCCGTTCCTAGACAAAGACTTAATTATTAGAGTTGGGGGTAGGCTTAAGTTAAAGTACTCTGCTTTTTCTTATGGCAAAAAGCATCCTATGGTTTTGTCAAGTAAACACCATTTATTGTATTTAATATTCAAATATGAACATGTTAAATTACTCCACGGTGGTCCCCAGTTGTTGCTGTCTCATGTTAGAGAAACTTTTTGGCCAATATCAGGCAAAAGTTTGACTAAACGTGTAGTGAGGGAGTGTATAGTTTGCTTTAAATTCAAACCTTCAACGCCTCAAGTTATACTGGGAAATCTACCACAACCTCGAGTTTCACAATCATTTCCATTTCAGCATGTTGGAGTTGATTATGCTGGGCCATTTTCTATTAAGGATCGTAAAGGACGTGGGTGTGAAATAAGTAAAAGGTTATCTTTGCTTGTATGCCTGCCTTAGCACAAAAGCAGTTTATTTGGAAATTGTCACAGATCTAAATACTCAAGCATTTTTGGAAACCTTTCAAAGGCTTATAGCTCGTCGCGGTATGCCATCGAACGTATACAGTGACAACGTTCGCAATTTTGTTGGCGCTAGTAATGCATTAAGGGAACTTGGTCAATTTTTAGTTTCAACGGCTAGGACGTTGATACTCATGGCCATATGCATTAGTTAAAAATATTTTTGAATATACAGGGTACTCCGTTTATGGGGTATGCGACAGAACTTTGTTATTTTAAATGAAACACCCTGTGTGTGATTGCATATTTGGATTCTACGTAAAATTCTGACCAGATGCAACTTTGACAGGCTGTGAAACCCAAACGGTTAATTTTAGACAAAAACCAATTTTACATTCCTATCTTAGATTTTCATAAACTATCATTTAACAACAACTTTGAATTTAATCCTTGATTGAAATCTTCAGTTAAATTTAATCTCCGGTTAAATTCAAAGTTGGTGTCATATGATAGTTTATGAAAATCCAAGATAAGAATGTAAAATCGGTTTTCTTCTAAAATTAACCGTTTAGCTTTAACAGCCTGTCAATATTGCGAAAAGTCAATTTTCAACTGTCAATATTTCCAAAACAGTTGAATTTAGGTAAAGGGTATATTACATGAAATCGGCTCAGAATTTTACGTAGAATCCAAATATGCAATCACATACAGGGTATTTTATTTACAATAACAAAGTTCTGTCGCATACCCCCTAAACGGAGCGCCTTGTATATTCAAAAATATTTTCAACTAATGCATATTAGAGTATCAAACAACTTTGTAATTTAATTTTTTTTTCTTGCATAACCCTGTAAGGAGATATCGTTCGATATCGCACTAAGTGGACACCCTGTATACCGAAAAAAAAATGTTCTACAAGGTTAAATAAGTTTTTTACAGGCATTTAAAACTAGCTAAATTCAAAATGATTTAAAACGCGTCGATTCAAGACGTCACATAAATATTGTTCATTTCGCTCATGTTGTTGCAAGGAGCTGACCGGCTCGGCTTGTGTTACCCTTTGTAAAAGTGCGTAAAGGATCCAATGCGCTGTTGTCGGTTGAGACTAAATGTGGTGCAACGTAAAAGAAATAAATAAAACTAAACATAAAAAATTGTTTTAAATTGTGTTTAAGCATAATTTCAGAAAAAATGTTATAAAATCTTGAATCCATAAC